GGGGGGGGGGGGGGGGGGGGCGTCAAGATTAGAATGTGAGGCCCTCAAGACAGGACAGGGGAGTTTGGTTGGGGTTGGTCAGAGGGTGGGCACGGTTGAGGGGAGGGCAAGGGGCACATACAAACAGAAGAGGAGGCCCGGAGCCTTAAAACTCAGAGGTCCTGCAAGGTCACAGCTGTGGCATCCGTGCAAGGGGTGGGGGGTAGGCACAGCAGGGTCTCAGCTGCTGGCCTGTACATACACAGGAGGCCTGGATGACAGACATCCTGGGACTAGGGCAAGTGACACCCAGAAGCTCAAATCTGGTGCTCCGCTGACAGGCAGTGTTCATTCACTCGGTCGTTCATTCATTCATTCATTCTCTAATACTTCCTGAACACCTGCAAATGTGCCAGGCACTGTCCTGGGCTTTGGAGTCTCCACTGTGAACAAGACAGACGTCCTCTGTGGCTTTGTTGAGCCCCATCATTGAGGAGGAGGACAAAGAAGGGCTCCCTAGCCTTGAGCTGGCCCCTGCACTGTGTCCTTGCCCACGGCCTTGCCCCTTACAGCGCCCACAACTGGCCGTGCCGCCCGTTTAATTCACGGTCCGGCTCACACACCCTCCCCCACGGGGCCTGCTTTGAGAAACCTAGCGGGGTGGGCAGAGGCCAGGAAGGCGGGTGTGATTTGGAGGCAACTCACACCCCCACCAGGCTGCTGCCAGTCCGGGCTCCCCCCTCCCGCCCTTACCAGCAGGCCCCCACCCACAGATCTTGCTGCTGCGCGACCCATGGCCGATGGCACCGCCTCTGTGTCTGTCTCCTCATCTAGAAGATGGGGACATCCGTGCCCTGTACCGGGCAGGACTTCCAGAAACATCTAGGCTAGGCGTTGGGTCCTCTTGCACCCGCTTTCTGCCACCGCATGCCCTGAGTCACCCCACCCTCACACAGCCTCTTGGGCTGGGGTCCAGGATCCAAACGGAGAGGTCAGGATGGGGCTCCTGGAGAGAAGCCACAGGGGGCCAAGGCAGGAGCTAAGAGGAGCAGAGGGGCGCTGCTCAGCCCCCTCTCTGGGGTGGAGTCCTTAGCTCCCAGCTCAGGAAACAGCGTGGGGTGGCCCCAGCTCACACGGCCTGGAAACTGGGTGCCGGACAATGGGAGAGGGAGGCCATGGAGAGAGCGCGTCATCAGTCTCCACTGCCCCCGACACCATATCCCTTACTGAGTCAGACAGAGGAGGGGTGAGCAGGAAACCTGAGCTGTAAAAGGACACTGGAGGGGAAGAAAGAAATGGAGATGTGAAGCGGGGTGCGTGTGTGTGTGTGTGTGTGTCAGACCGTGGGCTGGAGGGGCTGGTTGATCTCTTTCCCAGCCCCGACCTCACCGTGGCCAGGCCACAACGGACACCCAGCCCAGTTGGCAAACCCCTGATTTGGTGACTTGCCCCCGGTACCGGAGGCCATGGACCCGCAGGACGCACCCACAGTCTGGGCGGCTGTCACTGGGTCCTGAGTCTGGCTGGGTTTGTAGCTGAGAGACTCTGTGTCCCCAGTCCCCTCCTCCAGTACTGGAGCCAGCTGGAGCCAGCTGGAGCCACCCACATCCCACATGGAGCCCCAGCCAGGCCGAGTGAGGACAGCCCCCCGGGGCCTGCCACTCAAGACTGCTGGTACACCCAGGCCTGGGGGGGCCAGCAGTGAGGCTCCACAGATACCCACTGAGGGGTGGGGGAGGGGGCAGCTGCTAGACCACTGAGTCTGCCCCTCTGCATGCAGGCCAGCCTGAAAGGTGCAGGGGACAGCCAAGCCTGACGCTGCTGCTGCCTCTCTACCCTGGGGACCTCAAGCCACTCGTGCACTCTTTCTGGGGCCAGAGTCCCCTTTATATAAGGAGGAGATGGCGCTGGCGGGGCCACAGCATACAGTTGTATAGTTGTGCACTGTGCAAATGCACCTGGCGGAGGGGACAGGCACTGAGAGGCAGCCCAGGTTCTGCCTTGCCGGCCCCGGTGTTAGGCTACAGCTTCTGGAGGAAGGAAGGCGTTTACTTCCCAAGAGTTCCCTCTTGAGGAGCGGTGGGCGGAGTGGGGGGGGGG